ATTAATTTAAAAGAGCTCAATTAATATTCATCAATAAATTCTTTATTATTTTCACGACAAAGAATCATTTTGTTTCGAAAAAAAAATCTATCGAAGAAAATATATCGACGAACTGAGAATTTAAAAAATGCATCTTTTAAAATGCAGGTCTGTTTATTAAATTGTTCCAAATATATATAGTTATATAGATATATATATATATATATTATATATATATATATATATATATATATATAACTGATAAAACAATTAGCCTATCAGCCATGCTTCTTTTATAATATGTAGATTTAATAAGCGGTTAATCGATTTTGAGGAAAAAGACATCGACATAATGATAAAAATTAGGAAGTAATTACTGGAAATGTTTTTAGTAAGCCTATGGGAAAGAATTATATTCCTATTTTTTCTATCAGACATTTAAAAAGATATTAGCAAAACAACGATTTTCAATGTCCTTTTTACCACCCGACTCCCCACCTACATGAAAACAAATTAACGTCATCTATAGGTTATTAGAAATCACGATGTTCTATAGGAACATCACCTCAAAGTTTGTAAATATATCATATATATATTATATATATATATATATATATATATATATATTAAGACGACAGGCAATGTTTCATACTAGACTGTTCAAATATTACATATTTATTTTCTGCAAACGAATACAGAAAGGATAAATATATCCAATAATACAGGCGCAGATTATATCCATTTCTTCATATATATATATAATATATATATATAAATATATATATAACAACAGTGTTTTTAAAATCGCTGCAAAATAACCAATCAGATCACAGCATCGATAAGTTCAGTTCAAATTTTAAATTATTATTTTTTTCACAAGTTTAAAGGATTAAAAAGCATAAATATAATTATTTATTTAAAAATACATTCCAACTCGCGACATAAGCCTTCAACAAATGTTTCAAAACCCTAATCGTAAAAACTACTGGAATATAATTTTTTGAATTAATTGAACAAATGGAAAAAATTGTTCCATCAACAACGAAATTTTTGTTTGGAATAACTGAGTATTTCAGAAATTTAATTTTTTATTAATTGAAATAAAATTTATTTAATATTTTATTATTATATATTTTTCCTTTGGGTTTTTTTCATCACATCATGTTAACCACAGCCCGTCTATCCAACATTTGACAACTTTGTCCGACAATTTTCCTACAACTTGCTACATTCGAAACCTCTTCCCCCGAAAACCTATAAAACTCTTCATTTTAATTTAATTTTATAATTAAATTTCCCCCACGACACACACTATTTTTAATAGCTCTGCCTAACGAATTTTTACATCGATCAAAACCATAAAAATAATTTTATTTTATAAAATTTTGCACATAGAGTTTAAATCAAACAGAGATCGGATTTTTTGATAACAAGATTTCCATTGAAAATGTCCAGATTATAAAAACATGTTCATTCTTTTTATTTTAATATATATTTATATATATATATATATATATATATAAGGACAAGAAATGAAAGGAAAATATATAATAAAAACCTTTCTTATCCATATTTTCATTTTTGTCATAAGTTTCATAATTAATATCTAATAAATATTTATTATAAGTTTTTATTAAAATATTGACCCTCATAAGTCGACAGAAATTACCATGTTTCAAAATATATATAAATATATAAATATAATTATATTAAATTAAAATCATTATTCCGTTTCATCTTCAAGCGAATTTTGGAATAACTTATTTTTAAATTTACTGAGTTTTTAAACGCCAGAATAAATTCATAATTTCCTGTTTCCAAGGATACAGATAAAATCCAATCATTCAGACAGGGGTGGTAGCGTGTTCATTTTATTAACTATTGTTGTATCAATTATGAGTTACGTTCAAAAAAGAGGTTAAGGTTAAGTTGGGAGGGAGACGTGTATTTTCAACGAATTCTGACATCCATTGAATCGTTGTCGTTTTTTTTTTATTAACGGCAAAAAGTTTTTCGGCATTTTTTTTTAAATTGTTTGTATACATAAAGATTTTTTAAAAGGGTTTGTGTTAGAATACGTTTATTTAACTACAATTTTAAAATATTTTTTACTCTTAATTACTAATAGACTATATTTTTTTTTAAAACAAGTAAATGTAATAGAATTACTTAAATTATTTAAAATTATTTTTCATATCAAATATAAGTATGTATATTACCAGCTCCCATTTTTTTTTATTTTTTTATTTTTATTTTTTTTTTTTTAAAATATTATTTAAGGAAAATTTTTGACAATGACGGCAAAAAATAGCTATTTCATTTCTCTGATTCAGTAAATTTTTTTTTTATAAACTTAGTAATATATAGTTTCTAATGTATGCACAAAGAACATAGGTCTTTTAATAACCTACAAATTCTAGCTTTTCTTATTAATTGCCATTTTACTGTAGGTGTTTTATTAGATTCTTTTAAGTGCCAGAAATATTTTGAATGGGATGTCTGATTTCTGTATTTATTTATCCTAAATGAAGTTTGATGTTGATTGAATCTCTTTTTGAACTCATGGCTTGTGCAACCTATATAGATTTTTATGTTTTCGGGATTCTCAATAGATGAGATATTGCATTGGTATACTAATGATTCAGTGCGACATTTATTTTGTAGAGGACAGTTATGAGAATTTCTACAGTTACATAATTTTTGTTTATCTTCATCTCTTTTTATTTTTATATTGTCTAAATTTCTTTGGTTTTGGTCTAAGTGTTTATTGAAGATATTAGCATTATGTTTCTTAATAATTTTTTCTAAGTTTTCAGTACAGCTGTAACTTAATTTTAGTGTATTTTTATTGAAAATAGTACTTAGTTTACTTTCTCTAGGAAAGTGTTTAACTATTAATGCAAGGAATTTTTGTCCTAATTTGTTCTTTACCATTTAGTTTGTATATTTAGTATACCAAATTATTTTTCTACTATATGTTTTTTCTATGCTTTCCATTTTGTTTTTTTATATAAGTTAGATTTTTTGGGTTTTTGTAGCCACTATCTTTAGAGCTTTATTATAGAAATTTATATGTTCATATATATATATATATATATATATATATATATATATATATATTATAAATTAACTGGTTTAAAATATGGTTTTTTCGTTGCACAGTAATTTAAACGTTTCAAAAATATTTTTAAAATCTTCAAATTTTTTTTTGTAATTAAATTAAAACATTAGTTCCATTTCATCTTCAAGCTAATTTTGGAGTAATTTATTTTTTTAAATTTACTGAGTTTTAAATATATATAAAAATTCATAATTCACTGTTTCCAAGGATACAGAGAAATCCAATCATTCAGACAAGGGGGGGTTTAGCGTGTTCATTTTTATTAACTTTTTTTGTTAACTGATACGAGAAAAGTTAATAAAATGAACTTTTTATTAACTGAATGATTGTATATATATATATATATATATATATATATATATATATATTCAGAAAACACATTTTCTTTATTAAGATTTCTGGAATACACATGCCGATAGATGTAATACACACTGTTTAAAATAAATAATAATAAGGCGTCTATTTCAGTTATGGGTATCGACTATAATAACGCTTGAAGTAATAAAAGTGTTGTATTAAAAATAAATCCATTAATTATTTAGAAATATTTGGTAATGAACATTAAACATTTCTCCTCACAGATGTAGAAGGGACTTTAAGCAACGAATATGTATTTCCCTTATAATTATAGACAGGACATGAGAGAAACGACGAAGTTTTAGAAAAAATTGAAGCAAAAAGGACACTTATACTTAACAGAGACAGTTGAAATTACTAGGGCAAAGTTTCCAGGAAAGAGGGCGTGGAAAGTGTGATACTCACAAGACGGATTGAAGACATTAAGGGACAGAAGAAAACAACGCATAACACACCTAGTGACCTTGTGCAAATGGATGGCGGAACAAGGTTTAGGATTGGTTTGGTTTGTTTTACGGCATTATCAACCTACAACGGGTTGGCAATTTAATGTCAACAATTTTTTTACTTAAAATAATATATATATATATATATATATATATATATATATATATATATATATATATATATTATATAAAAAAAATTAAAAAAAAATGTTTTACATTTTGTAATCTGGATTTTTTTAAATATTAATCTTTATTTTCCATAATTTTATTTAAACATGTTTCTGGTATTTATTTTCTTCAGGCGGAGATTTAAACATATTATTAAAAATAATAATTTTCAATTTTATTTTTTCTCTAGTTGGAACCTTTATAACCTTTTAATTTACACACACACACACACACACACACACACACACACACACACACACACACACACATATATTTATATATATATATATATATATATATATATATATATATATATATATATATAAATGTATTTCTGTTTTTATTTATTTACAAAAATGTTTTATTTTTTTAATAATTTTTTTTTTGTTTATTTATTTTTATTATTATTTTTTTTACACTTTCATAGAATTTTGACCCCAGTTTGGATGATTAACTATTTGATAAATATGGGACCAAATGTTTTTGCTACCACTCTGAGTTTTTTGAAATTGGGAACTGACACAAATTAAAGAGGTGGTTCCAATCCTTAAAAGCTCCTGATCAGAGACCTTTGCTGTTGGTTAGTTTTTTTATACCCAGGATGGACATTTATTTAGGCCATATAAAAAAAAAAAAATGATTAAAAAAATCTATAAAGGACAGGAGATTTAATTGACTTTCCCAAATGTATATAAATATACAAAAAAGGGTTGCAGGTTGATTAAGGAACAATATACTAGTAAAATAGATGAAATTGGGAAAAATTTATTTTTTTTTATTTATATTCGGACTATTGAAAAAAATCGATATTTTGAGGAAGATCGGAGAGTCAAGAAGAATGGTTAAAAATTAAACGCAGTAAATTAACCTAATAAAATTAAATATTTCACAAGATAAAAAAAAAAAACTTAGACAAAGTGATTAAACCAATGATTCCAAACATGGTAATTCAATGCCCTTAAATTGTTCAAATTTATTTTAAAATATTTATAGGATGTACAAATAAAGGCTTACTATACCAACAGAATAAGGGAGCAATTTGAGAATGAGTTATTAACAGTGAATTGTTTTTAGTGAGCTCAGATTTCATTTTGAATAAATTATTATTTCATGATTAAAATGATCAAAGTATATTACAGAATAAATTGAAAAAAATTCAAATGTTTTTATATTTTTTTTCAGTTCTAAATTATATGTTTTAAAAAAATTTATATATATATATATATATAATATACGTCAAAATATATATATTAACATAAATTTTCGGTTTTTTTTTTTTTTTTTTTCTTTCATGGACGCCATGGTTTTCAGAGACCAAATTAATGGTCTTTAAGCTTCCTTCACATGAATTGCTGTAACATTTTGAATATGTAAGAATGAAATATTTATGTACCAGAATTTTAGACATACCAAAGTGGGACATGGCGCTGGTTCGGTTGGGAACTACTAGTTTAAACGTAAACAGAAAGAAGGTTGTTATTTATTTTATTCCGTTCGTTTATTTAAGTTTTTTATCATGTGATTTCATCAAAATTAGAGCGAAATTATAAGAAACAAAAAACAAATTTCTCTTCTTTTTTCATCAAATTTGCACAGATATAGTTGTTTAACGAATGAGTAATTTTTCTGTTCCATTAAGGTTTTTTGTGAAGATGCGGAATGCGTTTAAGGAAAAATGAGTCTACGCATGTGCACATTAACGCTTTAACGCTAAACGGAAACTGAGCGTCAACGAAACCTCAACAATATAATCTGAAGAGATTGATTCTTTTTTAATTCTAACAAATGTATTCTGTAAACAATTTCTTCGACTACTCATCATATCTTGTTTTTCTCTTTTTCTAAGTTCTAATTTCAACTGCGTGTTCGTTTTCTCACTCTCGTTTATCTAGTGTGACGCCATTTTAAACAAGGAATTTCATTCTGCTTCAAGAAGTCCCTCCTTCTATTATTTTTTCTTCTTTTCCTGCTCTTCGTCATTTTTTTTCTTTTCCTCCTTCTTGTGCTCCTCGTCTTTCTTCTTTTTCTTCATCTTGCCGTCCTCTTCTTCCTGTGATTTTATTTATTTCCTTCTTGTCGTCCTCTTCATCATTCTTATTCTTTCCTTTTAGATGAATTGTCCTCTTTTCATCTTTTCTCTCTTTTTTTGTTTTCCTATTCTTCCTTTTTAGTAAAATTAAGGTCCCAGACTCCAGAATTTTCGTTCTTTTTTTTTCTTTCATCGTTTAATAATTTATTCAATTTTCTTTTCTTGTCTTCCTTTTTCTTCTTTTTTTTTTGTTTTTTTTTTTTGTTTCCCTCTTTCATTTCCTGTTCTTTCATTTATTTTTTTTCTTTTTTTATTTATTTCTTCCTTCCTCTTTCTTCTTCTCCTCTTCATTTTGTCTTTCTCTTCTCCTCCTTTTTGTCTTCGACATGTCTTGTTAAAAAATTCTTTCTTTTAAAATTCTCTTCACGAGTTTTGATGTTTTTTATCTTCCTTTCTTCCTTTCTTCTTTTCTTCTTCTTCACTTTCTTTTTCCATTTTTTTTCTTTCCTCATCCTCTTCTTCTTTCCTTGCTTCAATCTTCTTCTTTTCTTTCCTTCTCCCTTTTTCTTTTCTCCTTTTTCCTTTTCCCCTTCTTATTTCTTCTTTTCTTTTTATTTCTTCTTCTTCTTTTTCTAACAATCTTTCTCTCTTCTTTTTTCTTTTTCTTGTCCTTTCCTTCTTTTTTCCTCATCATTTTTTCTTCTTCTTTTTTTTTTTCTTCTTTTCTTCTCGAAAATTTCTTTTCATTCTTCTTCTTTCTTTCTTTCTTTCTTTCTTTCTTTTCTTCTTCTTTTTCTTCTTCTTTCTCCTCCTTCTTCTTCTTTTTCTTCTCTCCTTTCCTTATCCCATCTCTATCTTAAATTTCTTTTTCTTCTCCTCTTTTATCTTTAATTTTTTCTTCTTCTTTTCTTCTTTTTCCATTATTCTTTTTCTCACTTCCTTGTCGCCCTCTTCTTTTTTTTTCTTTTTTTCTCCACTCCTCTTTTAAATTCTCCTCTTTTCTTCTTCTTAGTCTTCTTGAATTTCCCTTTCATCCATTTTAATTCTTTTCTATTGTTTTCTTCTTCATCTTCCTTTTGATTTATTAATTCCAATCTTGTCCCCCTGCTTACTTTGACTTATTCTTTCTCCTTTTCTCCCTGTCGGTCCTCTTCATCACCCTCCTCCTCTCTCCTCATCCTTCTTCTTCTTTCCATCCTTCATAGATTTATCTCTCTTTTTTTTTTTATTGTCCTCCTATTCATGCTTCTTCTTCTTTCCCCTCTATATCCTTTTTAGTCTTCTTTCTCTCTTCTTCTTCCTTTTTATTCTTCTTTTTGTCCTCCTCTTCGCCTATTTTCCTCCTTCTTCCTGCCCCCATCTCAATAGCCTTTTTTCTTTTCTCCTTTTCCTCTTTCTTTTTATACTCCTCTACATTCATTTGAGTCTTCTTTTTTTTCTCCTTTTTCCTCTTTCTTCTTTTTCATTCTTTCCTCTACTTCTTGTCCTGCTGGTTAATTTGTCTTATTCTTCTTCCTTTTCTTTTTGCCTTCCTCTTCATGCTTCTTCTTCTTCTTCATGCTTCTTCTTCTTCTTCTTCTTCTTCTTCTTCTTCATGCTTCTTCTTCTTCTTCTTCTTCTTCTTCATGCTTCTTCTTCTTCTTCTTCTTCTTCTTTTCCATCCTTCATAAACTTCTCTCTCTTTATTGTCCTCCTATTCATACTTTTTCTTTCTACCCCCACTATCCTTTTTAGTCTTTCTTTCCTTCTCCTCTTCCTCCTTCTTATTCTTCTTTTTGTCCTCTTCATCTATTTTGTTCTTTCTTCTTATCCCCCTCAATATTCTTCTTTCTCTCCTTCTTTGTTTTTTCGTAAGGTTCTATATTCTAAGTAATTTCTGAAATCGACAGAGCGTATTAACAACATAATCACGGACTTTTCAATTTTCCGCCTATTCTGTAAACATTTCTAACAACAAAAAAGTCGTCTATTCGAATCTGTTCAATTTCCGATTTCGTTCATTTAATGAGATCCTGTTTTTTTTTATGTGATTTAACAACATTTTTCATTTTTCCGCTATTTACACGTCATGATTTCGATTACACTTTAGAACATGAAACAGGAAAACATTTATTTGAACCTAAGATTCAGTTTTATGAGAACAGTGAGTCAGTTTAAAACCATACAGAAGAATGTAAAAAAACTGTCAGATTACTTTTCTCTTTTAATCATTTCACCCCAAGCAAGGGGATAATGCCACTAAGACGCAGGGGTTTACAGGGAGTGAAAATGAGAGAAAAGACCGGGTATAGGGAAAACTGAGGAAAGAAAATATAAACGAGATTCAAGAAGATAGAAGATGGCGATTGACATTGCATTTAAATTTTTTAAGATTATAGTTATCAGGGAAGCAAGTAAACGGAAGGGAGTTCCACAGGCTGGAAGTGTAAGATATTTTTGTGGAATTTTGGTAAATATATCTGTTAAAATGAGATATCAATGCTGTTTTTATTTTTGCATCATTTGGAAGACAATTTATCCATCGCAACCCGTACATGCCGTGAAGATTACGTTTAAATATGAAACCGACTATAGTCTGTTGTTTTATGACTTTAATGTCTCCTTTTATACTTACATACGCTCTTAGCCTAATATTGAGCAATTTAACCCATAAATATAGCATTTGTTAAAAATAATTTCACCGCGAGTACCATTGGAAATACCACTAGTACACAGTTGGTTACAATGAGTGAAAGTTAGAGAAAAGACTGAGTATAGACGACAGGATAAAAGAGGAACGAGATTCAACAAGAAAGAAGATGGCGATTGTTTTTTTTTTAAAATTTTAAAGATTAAAAAGTTATCAGTGAATTAAAGTAAACGGAAAGAGTTCTACAGGGGGGAAGTGCAAAAAAAATAAACTGTTTTTAGACGAGGAAAATTTGATTTAGCTATTTCACCAGTTAGAAGGTTGGACCTAGATTCCAATCGAGTAGCACGCTTAAATTCAAGTAATCGGGGTACAAGGAAAAAGGCTCGTCGGTGCAGTTGCCATGAAAATATTTGTAGAAAAGGAAGCCACGTCACGTCGGTTAGAAAGTAAGTGATGCCAAGTCAGGATCGATTGCATTACAAATCGTTCTTTGGATTTTTTCAAGAATCTCTAGATGAATAGCAGGAACACCAGACCAAATATGGCAGCAGTATTCAATGTACGGATGAATGGTAAATTTGTAAATGAGCAAGATGGTTTCTGATGAGAAAAATTCTTTGACATGACAGAATGAGCAAACTGTCTTTGCAGTAGATGCAACTATTGTTTTGTGTCTTAAAATCTTTATTCAAATCAGTGAAATACGAGTTCCAGTGATAAAAATGCGGGACAAGAAACTGCTGGGATTGACGAGGTGGTGGCATTATTATGGAAAAAATAAATTGGTGGGACCTAGATGCCAATCTAGTAGTACATTTAAATTCAAGTAATTATACCAAAGAAAAAAATCTTGTCAGAGCAGTTGAAAATGAATTTTTTTTAGAAAAAACAAAGGGAATTTGACGTACGTCGGTTAGAAAGTAAGTGATGCCAAGTCAGGATCGATTATATTACAAATCGTTCTTTGGATTTTTTCTAGATGAATAGCAGGAACACCAGACCAGATATGGCAGCAGTTTTAAATATACGGGCGAATGGTAGATTTGTGAATGTGCATGATGGACTCTGACATGAAAAATTTCCTGGCACGACAGTGAGCCAACCTTCCTTTCAGTTGATGCAGCTAATGATTCGATATAGTCGCTACTCTGCAAGTCAATGAAAACATGAACGGAATATGTTGCTCGTCAATCGTCGAGCGTCAGCCATGCTGATGGCAGGCAGAAAAGTTTCTCTGTGGTGCTTAAATGAGAGTTTTATTTTGGAGTCGTTAAAATTTACAAGACCTACTTGATCACTTGGAGGTCCTTTTCCTAAAATTTACAATAGTCAATCTGTTTTGCGTACATCAATGAGTAAACTGAATTCTGATTACGAGAAACAGTTGCAGGAATCTCATTAAATATATTAAATAACGAACGATTTTCTCATCAGTTCGCAACAAGGTATTTATGCCGATAGCACAACTATTTACTCTATTCTTAGTAACAAGTCCTACAGGTCTGACAAACTAAAACTCAAAAAGGACCCCCAATCAATGGTTTACTGGGGCAAGGAATGGCTTGTAATTTTTAACATTTCTAAAAAAAACAACTGCTTTCATTTAATCATCATAGCGAACCTATTCTACTTGCTATCACTGTGGCTGATGCTAGCCTCCAGAAGAGTGACTCTTTACGCCTGCCTGAGCTAATGTTTTCCACTTACATGAACTGGAGTGATTATATTATATCAATCGCTAGGTCTGCTAGGAAAGTTGGTTCACTGTATCGAGGCAGACAATTCTTCCGTCAGAATCCATGTTGCCCATTTATAAATCTACCATTTTATCCATGCATTGAATAGTGCTACCATATCTGGTCTGGTGTTCATGCTGTATATCTCGAGATTCTTGACAAAAAAATGGTCTCTAATGTAATCGATCTTGACCTGGCATCTCGACTTCAGTTACTTTCTCACCGACGTGATGTGGCTTCCCTCTGTGTTTTCTACAAATATTTTCAGGGGGGGTTGTTCTGATGAGCTTTTTTCCCTGGTGCCCCGACTACACGAATTTAAGCGTGCTACTAGATTGGCAGTTAGGTCTCACAGTTTTGCTGTTGAATTAGCTAGATGAAACTGCCACTTCTATTCCTACAGTTTCTTTTTTCTCACTTCTCGCCTTGAAACTTCCTTCCAGATACTTACTTCCCTCATAAGTAAAATCTTTACAAATTTTAATGCAACGTCAATCTCCACCTTCTGTCTTCCTGTATCCTCTTCCTTTATTGTTCTTTCCTCGTTTCTCTTCGTGAAAAACTGTTTCATCTCTTTCACTCTCTGTAATCGCTTTCGTCCTAGTGGAATTATGAAATGATTAAAAGAAATGCATTAAAAACGTATTTCTATATATTTCTGTTTGGCACGAACACATTTTTTAATAAACATTTTTAAGATATTTCTCTTCTACGATATCTAAGGATAACTAGCTGTTTAATTTATATATTTATTTTCAAAATAGCTATTTTAACGTTTTACAAGTCAGTTGTCTTAGAAATACTGATATTGTTACAACAGAAAACATACTTTTATCATACTATTTTCGTTTTTTTCTTTTTTTAACATCAAATATCAACTCCGTCAGTTACTTAAAAGGCGAATATACACCCTTGTGCAAATTAATTGAAACAAAACGAATAATTCAATTATTATTTACTTTTTTTCGTATTTTTCCGATGAAGCATGAGCCAGTGACTATATAGTATTTCGTATGTCCATTCCACAAAGTTATTCCTTGCAGTTTGACCACAGATTCTCGATTGGATTTAAATCAGGAGAGTTTCCAGGCCAGTCTATAGTACTTTTATTTGCTCACTGGTAAGGCTTGCCAGTGTGTCTGTGCATCGTTAAAATTTTCGTCCGCTTCCTTGGAGTAACGTCCATCGCAGACAATGGCCGTAGGACAACTAATTGACAAGTCGAGACTATAGTGTCCGAGCCTGATGAAAATCTCAAAAGCAATCACGGATGACGCAATATTTTCAAGGCCAAAACAAATCGCATCATACACCTCGAAAAATAGATTCATATTTAAATGCATGTCAACCACCGCAAATGATCATAATCTGAAGAAAAATAGAAATCGATTACACTCTCCAGTGGATCTAATTTTGACCGTATGGTGAAAGAAAGTAAAATAAAGCGTTTTTTTTTCCAATTAATTTTTAGAAAGAGTTATTTTATTTTTTG